AAGGTAGGGGTACCCACTACGGTGGAACATTCGAGCGAGGCTGGTCCGGAGACCGGAAAATGGATAGCTGAAACGACACAGGTACGGAGATTCTTCGATACTCTGCTCACCTATTTCCCACTTCTCCGCGTCTCACTGCACGCTCGATCTTTGCACTAAACATGTAACGCACAGAACTTCATAACCTTCATGGACGCACTCAAGTTACGTCTACGCGCAAAAGATTAGCTGCATCCTATCCTTCAAGAACTCGTTACGGGGTACGCGAGGTTTAAAGGGAGCAAGGAATGGGAGGGAAGAAGTCGCATGGTCAGGTGGTAAGTGCTCTCAGAATCGTTCTTTACTTCGTCCTTCACACACCTCACTCGCATGCACCAAAAGGTTGATCACCCTCAACGGGATGAAAGCCTCGGAAGAGGTCGAGCACACTACGCCGACGTGTCCCATCGCGAATAAGCGCTCCCTGTCGTTCAATGGAGGGACCTGGAACAGATATGTACTGCTTTTTGATGCGATAGTTGGGTGAGCCTCCCGAAGTCCTACTGTTTGGACTTCTTACCAAACACTTCTTCACATGCCAAGTCATCTTGAGCGTTCCCCAAAGAAGGAACTGAAAAGCATATCCACCTCGTAGCGAGGTTTGTATCACATTCTCGAGCGCGAAGGTACCATGTGCTCCGCTCATCCCCGCCGTGCCACAGGTGCCGGAGAAACGAGGATCATGCATGTGGATCCCCATATGACCGTCTGCCAGCGTAAGCCTAATCCTGCAATAAGAAAATATATAAAGGCATCGACGACGTGATACTGTACCAGTCTCGTGCCTCTGTCGGTCTGCCAGGCCCAATTCCTCATCCGACCTCATCCCTGCGACCGAGACAAGTGCCATCCACAGACAATGCTGTACCTCTACTTCACATTTGCTTTCTTCCTCTCCACGCCTGTTCTCGGGCAGATGTTCACTTTTCTCGCCTATGACGCCATCTACGGCGATGCCAGTTGTCCCCTCTCCAGTCTCGCCTGCTCTGACGGGTCCAACGGACTCGAAAGCAAAGGGTACGCCACCCTTAGCTCCTTCTCCAACTTCCCTTACCTCGGAGGCGCACCAACCATCGCAAACTGGAACGACGCTAACTGCGGCAAATGTTATGCCATCACGTATGCAAAGAACACTATCAACGTCCTTGCACTGGATGTGTCGAAGGATGGGTTTACGGTGTCAACGCAGGCGATGAACGTACTGACGAACGGGCAGGCAAACGCGTTAGGGAGAGTAGAGGTCACTGCCGTTGAGGTGCCCGCCAGTGAATGTGGCTTGTGAGGATGGGAGGTGACGGCGCAGTTAACCTTGCGAGCGGTATGTTAGCAGGGAACAGCAGCACACGGAATAAAAGACCTTGTCTGCATTTCATGGCGGTATATCGAGTTCTGGACATGGACCCGTTGAGCTTCTTGTTATATCTTCACTTGGACAACTTGTACCAGGACGTTGTCGGTGCCTTTTATTGGTACCGTAGACTTGATTCCTAGTTTGTATAACACCTAGGCGCTTGCTTCTACTTCTGAGAAGTATATTCAATTCAGATTCTCGTCGATCGTTCGTACGCACGGTCCGCAGGTGGGTGTTGTCCCAAATTCTCGTTCGATTCGTTGCAAAGATCGTCACGAAGAGAACGTTCGAACATTATGGTGGATACGAACTTGCCTTAATAGATCTTCAGTGCTTAGTCGAATACAAAACAAGCCACATTGATGAACAGACCCTGGAACCCCTGAAGCTCCCCCACACGCTCCAGCAACCACAGTTCTTTGGACATACCATCAATGGACGACCACGTGGCGTAAAATTCTGGATCGGAGGTTATCGCATGGCAAACGATTCGCATTTTGAAATTGGAGAACCCGACAGTTAGGGCAGAGAGGCGACTCCTGTGGATTGATAGCCATCGCATGGCGGGTTGTCGAGGCGGACCTTGTCGACTTCGAAAAATCTCACGTCCCTCACCATGCAAGGGAAACCTTTTCACGAAAAAACGCAAGGGAAGCGCCCGGTAGGACGGGAACATCATTCTAGTGTGCGAACGTCGAAAACCATTTGCCACTTTCAAATCCTGAGCGGTCAGTACGATATCCAAGTTCCAAGATGCAGTCCACCTTCGGCTTGGGTCGTGAACCGCAGTATCGACCAATCCAGCACGTTGATTAGGTGACACCGCTCCTCTTTAAACCGAGTCTTCCAGACTGCTATGTTGTTATCGTCACACGCCCGGTGTAGCTCCGCGGGGTAGGGAGCTTCGATATCCCTCCAGCCGCGCAGCGCTGTACCGACATCTTGCTTCCCCTTACAAGGCTCTGCTTGGGTGCCTAACACGTAGCAAGAGTTCGGTGGGCGAGCGATCAACCAGTGGCGGTCGTTTCCTGATCAACGAGTTGACCACTCTAATTTTTGATGGGATCGCACACCAGCGACGATTTGCGTAGAGCTCTTCGGCCTTGGGATGAGCTACGTCCAATATGCAAAGGACAAGAAGGGGTGACCGCCACGGGCTCGAAACTAAAATGGGAACACACCGCAGCAGCATTGAACTGCTCGTCATGCACGGCCCTCCAATTGTACTCGTCCTTGAAGTAAAGGCATATGACTTCGACAGGAGAACTAGCAGGTCAGCGAGACAATAGCCACCCGATACAGCCACGACGCGTGTTGTCGACGACTTTTTTCTCACCCTGGCTGCGATGCTAATTTCTGATGCCAGCGAGACATGACACGTATTGGCGACAACATTGCCTTCCGCGGTAGGTGATTTCCGTGTTTTCTTAGGTCGTCCAGTCGATACAATTATCATAAGCAGGATGTGGATGTAAGGTTGGGAACTTCGGAAGACGCGGCGGCGCCACAGCCTCAGCTTGCTTACACAATCTGTTGAACGAGTACAATTTTTCCTTCGAGTGCAGCCTTCTGGAGGCTGTCTACGGTGATTTGGGCATGCTATCTCCGTTGTATCCATGAAATTCCCTGGCAAACAATCTTTGAATCCCATACGCTGATTGAGCACTGAAAGCCATGAAATTGAGACGCTGTCAAACTCTCCCTCCCACCGTCTACTATGCTTGACGCCCCATCCGAGCTGATCCCAACGATCGAAACAAATCCCATTTCTCAGAGACTGTGATGCTGTACTTCCACTTTCTCCCCCTTGATTCTTGCGCAGACGACCGCCTCCCTCGTCTTCGACGCCAGTGACTATTTTTCTATGGCGATGCAACTATCCCCTCCCCAATCTCGCCTGCTCTGGTGGGTCTACGGTCGAAAAACAAAGGGGTATGCCACTCTTAGTTCGTTCCCCTAACTCCGTTACTTCTGGGATGCGTCGGCCATCGTCGACTGGAACACCCCAATTGCGGGGATTGTCATTCTGTTACGTATGGGTACGGACGGCCAACGCGACCGCGATGCATCTGTCGAATTTACGTTGTCATCGCGTGCGAAATTGAGAAGCGGGCTGAGATGGATGCTGAGCATCCGCTCTTAGGACCATGTGAGCCTTGATTTTCACGTCCTTCGTAGTTGAAACGTTGTTGAGAGTCGTATGCCTGAAAATCACTCGTGATTGCCTTGTCCCCGTCCAGCGGCGACGCTTCAGCTCTTTTGCCTGCGACCTAGGATGGTCTGTCCGTAAATTGCGACTCGGTTTTGCGAGCTACAAAGTCGATGCATATGCGGTAAGTGAGTTTTTTGTTCTCGATGCCGAGCTGCCATTGACTGACATTCCTGAGACATGCACAGGCTGTAGCCATACAGCATGACAGTATTTTCGTACCGGAGATCGGTACGGAGGCACCGAAGTGGCCTTTTTTCTGCAGGGAATTCTTATCGTTACAGTTTATTATTACGAACCGTCCTTGTCCCAGTATGCCATATCGATTCCAAATCAGATTCCCTACCAGGCATGTCCTTCTCGAAGGACTGGGTTCGGACCCTGGGTTCTCACCATGTTATGTACATATCTCCATCGAAACGCAATTGTGTACACACCGTGGACTTGTTCTTTTTATCCTCTAGATGCACGAGAGACCGTGAAGCGGTGCAACTTCGATGGCATGTTACTCATTCTCTGGGGTTTCCTATGGATACCGCGTTGATCAAATACCTGAACCACAAGTGGTCTCATACACGACTTGTGCCATCGTCGAGCGCCTTACGAACAGTTCTTGTACTTTTTACCCTGCGGCTGCAGCCTTCGGATCTCTCCTGCTCACTGGTGTTTTTTTGTTTTGTTTTCACTTGAATTGATGTGATCACCCACCCACAGCACGCACGACATAAGGCACATACCTCGCTAGCTCCTTGTTCGCTGAGTTGCAATCAGTACTTTATACAATGTCGCCGTAGCAACAAGATGGACCTCCGATGTCCGCGGCCTTTCGTGCCATCCGCGAGCTTCCTTGTCCCGGCGGGTTACCTCCTCCTGATACCATAGTTTAGATCCGCGGTCTATCAGTGACGTTTTTAATAGGCCCTGACATCCGTCCCTCTGCAGCTGGCACAGTTGGATCCAGTTAGTACATATGTCTGTGAGAGTTGATTCACTACTTGAAGAAATATGCTTGTGAGCACCCCGCTATATCTCGTCACAGAGTGACGAACGTGTGTCAAAGCAACGATCAACTGGAGGTCGGGCTCCGAGCAACACCCGAATCACATTGCCAAGGCGTGGAGGGTATGGCTCAGTATAGGGACATCTACGAATGGAAGGTAGGTTACGGCGTCGATACCTAGTACGAAGAGAGCCATCCTTATTGTTGCCATAATAGCTGGACAAGGCTCGCGCAATGAATTGTATTATGTAATCAGGACCTGTGCAGGAGGAATTCCAGCCGTAGTTCAACATCCCAGCCATCTCGCTGTGATCGCCATTCATATAAAGATGCGCCTCTACAACAGGATCATACTCAGAAAACTACGCAGACTTCTCCATCGAGTCCTTCGCTTGCTCAAAATGGTCTCGGAAGCTCCAAAGATTGAAGGTCTGTTCCATGAGCAGCCCACCTGCCAGACCGGGAGCATAGCAATGTGGCACTCCCTCATCCGTAACAACCCTGTTACGTCGGATTGTCAAGTCATCGGGGTCGGCTGGTACAAGAAACGGAAAGGGGTAGAGCATGAGTTCTTGCGGTTTGACATCTCTTCCCCTGACAATCAGCACACATCCATTGTCATTGCCGAGAGGAGTGGTGGTGCTCACACTCCAAACTCCGGTACTTCTGCTCACATTCGTTAGCAACGTAAGCCGCTGACGATTCTGTAGATGCCATACCAGCTGCCGATACCCATGCTCAAACGGACACAGCGGAAGACGCCGTTACTTCGCCAGACCTCACGGCGTCGCCGCCCACTCCACCAGAGACTTCTGCACGCTCTCCTGATGTCGGCGATTCCACTGCAAGTAGTGCCGACGAAAGCAGTCCTCCGTTAGACAAAGTTACTAAGAGCAAGGGCAAAAAAAAACAGAAGATGACTACAGCTGAACTTGCAGCTGCTATTTCCTCCAGTCCCAAGCGGGACGCTCATGATCGCGTTCATTTTGGAACGCGTCTTACTGCAGCAGGCGCTCAGGTGGAGGAGATGTGCGACAAGCCTCAACGTCTCTGTACTTTATCGTTTACTGATGCAAGGCCTACTGCAAACGAGCTAGCGACCTTGCTTTATGTAACCTCGGCACAGGAGCCCAAGTACGCCATTTACCAAACACAATGCTACTGGTTCGTTGCAACTGTGTTTGACGCTCTCAAGATGCTATACAAGGGTGCCGTGCAAGATAACCCGACCCATCGGGGGGGTACATTTCGTGGGGTACAAGTGGCTATCAAGGCGAGCGGGGAAGAGGTGTGCGCCAAGTATCGTGAAGCTCGAGCTGCTTTGGCCGAGGAAATTGAACAGAAGCGCAGGCTTAAACAACAGGTAAGTTGTCTTTGATTTCTGTTCACTGTCCGTGCTTACGATGACCCGAATAGGAAGAGGAAGAGAGGCAACGTGAACGCGACCAACGCCAGGCCGCGGAGGAAGCCGCGAAAAGGGCGGAGGAGGAAAGGCGTGCAGCCGAAGAGAGGGCACAGGCAGCGGAGGAGGAAAGGCAGAAAGAACGCCAGGCCGCAGAGGAAGCCGCGAAACGGGAACGCGAGCAACGTGAGCAACGCGAGGCGGCCGAGGAAAGGGCACGGGCAGCGCAAGAAGAGATTGCGAAGTTACTCCAAGAAGTGGAGGCGTTGAAGAGAGCGGGGGCAAGTACTCAACAGGCTTGATGGACGGTGCTGGCCGCACATATACTTATACCAGTCTCGCTTTTTCCTTGTCATTCCCGGACTGCATACGATACGACTCCATGGTTTTCAATGTTGTCATTAGTGGATGTCACGACATCTCTGTCTATCTAACTGCCTTATTACTATCACTCCTGGGGATCTCAGGAGTATATCCCTGACATTCTACTGCTGAGTTGGCATAGCTTTGTACACTTCCTGGGTCCTGCCATAACCACGACGATGCTGTCCCTCGACGAAGAGGTCCGACTTTACACCACCAACGCAGAACGGGAGAAATACTCTCTTCTAGCTACACTCTTCGGCATCGTAGTCGCACTGGACTTTCTGGAATGCGCATACGTCCGCGATTCAATTACTGCTGCTGAGTGAGTCCCACCACTATTTACCAATTCCATCCATCCTATCGGTCGGTTCAATGTGGAGCTCGTACATACTGAGATATGCCACGAGAGGTACTCGCCTGCATGCACGAGGTTGTTGTCGCAGTATATGACGATGGTCAAGTTGGTCAAGGATTCGATCCCGTCGATCGAGGAGTTCATGACCCGCTATCGCGTGAGTCACGTTTCTCCTCCTCCTTCTCCTTTCACCCGACATTTTGATCTTGTTCTGTACGTGCGGCATTGACATAGCTCGATACGCCTGCTGCGTTGCATAGGATCAAGGTAGGGGTACCCGCTATGGTGGAACATTCGAGCGAGGCTGGTCCGGAGACTGGAAAATGGATAGCTGAAACGACACAGGTAGGGAGATTCTTCGATACTCTGCTCACCTATTTCCCACTTCTCCGCACATGTAATGCACAGAACTTCATAACCTTCATGGACGCACTCAAGTTACGTCTACGTGCAAAAGATCAGCTGCATCCTATCCTTCAAGAACTCGTTACGGGGTACACGAGGTTTAAGGGGAGCAAGGAATGGGGAGGGAAGAAGTCACATGGTTGGGTGGTAAGTGTACAATCTGTGGGGTACCGGTTGATTTCAAGGCGAGCGGGGAAGAGGTGTGCACCAAGTATTGTGATGCTTGAGCTGCTTTAGCTGAGGAAGTTGAACAGCAGTGCAGGCTTAAACAAGAGGTAACTTGTCTTTGGTTTCTGTTTACTGTCCATGCTTATGATGCCCCCAACAGCAAAAGGAACAGAGGCAGCGAGAACATGAACAATGCCAGGCTGTGGAAGAAGCTGTGAAAAGGGCAGAGGAGGAAAGGCAGAGGGAATGTGAGAAATTGTGAAGTGGCTGAGTGGGAAAGGCAGGCAGCCGAGGAAAGGGCATGGGCAGTGGAGGAGGAAAGGCAGAGAGAACACCAGGCCACAGAGGAAGTTGCACAAGAGGAGTGCATGGCCAAGGAGGCACAGGCAGCAGAGGAGGCAAATGCAAAGTTGCTCCAAGAACTGGAAAACTTTGCATTTGCTTCTTCTGCTGCCCATGCCCTTTCCTTGGCTGGATTGCATTGCTCATTCCCATTTTGTGGCTTCCTCTGTGGCCTGGCATTCTTTCTGCCTTTCCTCCTCTGCTGCCTGTGCTCTTTCCTCAGCTGCATGCCTTTCCTCCTCTGCCCTTTTTGTGGCTTCCTCCATGGCCTGGTGTTGTTCACATTCTTGCTGCCTCTGTTCCTTTTGCTGTTTGGGGCATCATAAGCTTGGACAGTAAACAGAAATCAAAGACAAGTTACCTCTTGTTTAAGCCTGCACCACTGTTCAATTCCTTGGCTAAAGCAACTTGAGAATCACAATACTTGGCGCACACCTCTTCCCCACTTGCCTTGACATCGACTGGTACCCCACAGATTGTACCCCCCAGATGGGGCGTGGGATCTGGCTTGGCACCCTTGTATAGCATCTTGAGAGTGTCAAACACAGTTGTGGCAAACCAGTAGCATTGTGTGTCCTGAAGGTTGTACTTGGGCTCCTGTGCCAAGGTTACATAAAGCAAGGTTGCTAGCTCGTTTGCAGTAGGCTTTGCGCTGGTAAATGATAGAGTACAGACAAGTCGAGGCCTGTTGCACATCTCTTCCACCCAAATGCCTGCTGCACTAATATGCATGCAAAATAAACGCGATCATAGGCGTCCTGCTTGGAACTGGGGGAAAGAGAAGCAGCAATTTTTTTCCCTAGTAACTTAGTCTAACAGAGGACTGTTTTCGTTGGCACTACTTCCAGTGGAATTGCTGGCATCAGGTGAGAGTGCAGAAGTCTCCAGGGGAGTGAGTGGCGACACCGTGGTGTCTACCGCTGTGTCTGTTTGAGCAATGGTATCAGAAACTTGTGTGGTGTCTACAGAATTGTCAGCAGCTTAAGTTACTTACGAATGTGAGCAGAAGTACCGGAGTTTGTACTGCGAACACCACCACCACTCCTCTCGGCAATGACAATGGATGTGTGCTGATTTTCGGGGGAAGAGATGTCAAATCGCAAGAACTCATGCTCTACCTCTTTCCTTTTCTTGTACCAGCTGACCCTGATGACTTGACAATCCAACATAAGAGGGTTGTTATGGATGAGGGAGTACCACAACCCGATGTCCGCAGTCCTGTAGACACTGTAAAAAGTAAAATCAATAAAAATAAATGTCCAAATCACTTCTGTTAAGTGTCGGAACAGCTGAGGATCAGTGTCAGTCATTGAATTTCAGCATCATAATGTGACACTGAAGTGCCCATCCGGTCTAGTAAAAAATAGTGTCTTCGTCACCAAAAAAAAACATCGTAAGTACTGAATAACACTGCCTTGTAGCTGTTTTTCCACATCGCAACACTGTAATAAGTTGATGCGAGCACTCATTTTCCGCTTTGATAGCACAGGTTTTCATGCTTGCTTACATATGTCCCACTTATCATGGAAATAACCAGGAAAATCACAAAATTGCGATTTCAAACACTACCTGAGGTTACAGAGACACCCACAGCACAGTCATATAACAGGGTATTCCACGAAAGTGTCAGTAATCCATCACAAGTCCAGCAGGAGCTAACAAGACTGAGCAACACAGTAGTGATAGAAATGAAAACGGTCTGGCAAAAGTGATCAAATTCGAGGAGGAGCAGCCAGCAGTGCAACAACAGCCAAACGAGAGCAGTTGAGTAGCAGTGATCGAAAATGTGTGAGGGAGGAGGATTTGGATGTGGACCTAACATTTTGATCATGCACTTCGGGGTGTATGTCGAGCCTGTGTCTGAATTATGTCAGGATCGACCTTGTTAGCGAGCCAACCAAGAGATAAGAGAGTGGGTTTACCACCACTGTGGCATCCCCAGCCTGAGGATCCTGTTCAACTGTCTTGGGGGCCTTCTTACTTTGCTGGCCACGAGGCTTTTTCCCCAGTACTTGAGAATGACTTGTAGTTGTGTTTACACAAGCACCACTAGTGCTTGTGGTGACCTGGATGGTTGAAATGCAGTGTGTAGTGATTCTGTGGTCAAATCGCTATGTTTCAATGGACCTGAATGGTTTCTTGCTGACCTGAAGCACTAGATGTGCAAGGGGCTCCCTCCTTTGGTGGACAAAGCACAAGACATGGTTTTGGGCAAGCATTTGACTGATCCTATTGCTGTCAGCTCTGTGAGATCAAAGTAAAAGATGCACACCACTTGTGCTTGGAACATCAGTTGTCTTTGCATATTGAAGTGTGACCAGTGCCTTAGCAGTGTCATGGATCGTTTGGCCCTCGAGGTTTCTCTGTTTAAGAGCGAATGTTGTTGCACATTTGATCTGATTGAGCTCATCATTGTCATCGCACTTGGGATTGATCAGTTCACCAACATCGTTACTTTCTACCATGATATTGTGCATGGGCATGGTCGACAAAAGGCTGAAGTCTTGAGTGACAAACCAACAGACAACATGGGGAATTATGAAGTAGGTTAGGTACTGCAAAAGTAAAAGAGGCTGAAAAGCATCAGTGGATGTCATTGGTGGAAATAGCTGGAGTAGTGTGTGCATAACAATTGTGGCACCTTTCAAACCGTAGCTGGGATGTCATCAGTTTTAAATGTTCTCAAGGAACACAATGCAGACTACTTACTATCCACAGCGTGAGTTTTCCCATATTGCTGAAGACATTGGAGGGACACACATTCAAGCAAATTGTGCTATTGTGTAATGATTCACTTCGAGGTCAGCTTCGAAAAAGGTCCAGAGCCAGAGGTTCTCGCGTGCTTCCACATCGAACAAAAGTTTCTCGAGTTCGTCATACATTTCCAGAATGCGAGAGGGGATATCTTTGAACTCGATTTTCGTGGCTGGCCAACCTTTTGCCTCTGTGACCTTGAGGGCTTCGAGCTGACAATGCTCTCATTTGATTAAGATACAGATATCTGTCTCCAAATGAATATTGGTCTTCCTTTCCTTGACAAGGCTGACATAGGTGGACAAGGCAGTCTTGAGCTGGTCAGAGATATTGTCAGGGATTGCATCTTTGCAGTCCATTCCAGGACATGTCTTTGGTGGCTGGTGACTTGCAATGGGACTGTCGGTGGCGGTGGCGGCAGCGAGCTCATGATAATTGGTGTCATCCTTGTCCTCATCCTCATTTGGAGGCAATCTCATGTTCGTGATCTTGATAGAGCATCCTACAGCAGTCTGTAATGCTGGTGTCAGTACAGGTTTGCCATTAGCCCACATAGAATACCTTCGAATTTGAGAGTGCCTTCATTGCTCGAGTGTTCTGCTTTGGTGAGTATGACTAAACATCAGGTAATACTTCCTACACTGTCATCGAGCTTGCTATACTCATTTGCCTTGGGGTCAGGCTTGGTTGTTACCATCTTTTGCTTTTCAGTGATGTCAGCTCACTCCTGCTGTTGTTTCTGAGGATGAAGTTTGCTATCATCTAGTGAGACGAGAGAGTTAGTGACGGATGAGGTCTGATCCATGAAGCTCACCCAATAGTCACCCAGAGGGCTTGGACATCTTGCTATGTTTAGTGTGTTCCAGTGAGGCTGGCACAACAGATTTTCTCTTGACTGGTGCCAGATTGTCGTCTTCGTCACTTTCACTGCCATGCTCATCTTCTGATTCTTCTTTGCACTGTTTTATTTGAGGACAACTTGGACATTCGTTATGATCTATTACAATGGCCCATAGATGATTAGTACATATCAAATCATCTATGCTACTCACCTGATGATCCGCATGTGCCAGACTTGGATATCTTGCTATGTGCTTCTGAGGCTGGTAGGTTTGTAGATTTTCTCTTGACTGGCACCATGTCATTGTCTTCATCTTCATCTTCATCGCTGTCTTGCCTGTCTTCTGATAGGTCTTCACTGCTGTCGTCATCACTTGCTTCACTCGGGCTATCTGTTTCCGAGCGCAGACAATCAAAGTCAATGATGGACATGTCCTCATTAGTGTCCCAAAAATCTGATTCTTTGTCACCACAGATCTCTTCTGCTTTTCATTTCCCAATCCTGTGCTGTGTTTCATATAGTTGCAATGAGTCCTGGTGAATTAAATGAAATCATTTATTGCATCATGCACCTCGAGGTTTGAGGTAGCTTTCTTCTCCAACTGCGAACTATTGCACAGATATTGCGCCAATAAATCTCACACTGGCCATGCATTTTCGTATTTCTGGAATATCTTGTATTCTAATTGTGCCTACATAGAGATTATAATGCATATATGCATATATATGACAGCAACGCACCTGAAAAATAACTTTCTCAATGAGTAGCTTGTTTTTTTGCTGCATTATCGTTCGACTTGTATCAAGTTTCCAGTTTGTGAGTTTGCGAATACCACACTACTTTTATCTTTATCAGTGAGATCAGCGTCATCCATGGAAAAAAAAATACAACCTTGAGGTGATTAAAGAATTCCTTCTTCTTTGAGAGGCCCATCACCTTGACAATACTGTAGCCCTTTCCATCACTTCATCCTAGGCAGCCCTTTGGTTGGGGAATCAAGTCCTGGCTGCTACCATTTATCAAGGAGTCCCATTCTTGATTAGTCTTCTTTTTGTGATGGTCCAAGTCATCAGCGTGCTGGTTTCCTACGTATGAAGATAAATGCTATCAATCATTCAGATGGCATACAGCACAAGATCTGACTTATGAGTATATGAGTCTAATTGTTCTTGTAGTGACACAATCGCTTGACCGATGGTTGATAGCTGCAGTGCTTGCTTCGCATTATATGGTTTTGGCACTTTGACCATTGTGAATTAACGACTGTTAGGGGTGGAAAGGGAAGATGCGAAACAGCTCGTGAGGTAGGTCACGTGATACTCACATGCTCAGATGACATGAAAATTCTGTCAAGTCTTCAAGTCTCTAAACCATGGGTACAACTGCCATGGTGCTGTCACGATGCGGCACAAGCACAGGGTGAAGACTCGTCCTGGTCAAAACTATTGCAAATGGTGTCATTGTCTCCCAACGTGCAGAAAAATACTTAGCCTCAAGCAGGTGCTGCCAGCATTACAGGGACCTAGCAAACAATGGCCTTGTGGGGCAGATACGAGCATCAGAGAGCATTTCATCAGACTTGGATGCAGAGGCTGATGCTACTGCACCCAAGGTTTCAGGTTCATGTTCTTGTATTTGCCTAACCACCTAGCAAGCTAACTGATCAGCATATCTTTGTCAGACAATGATGACAGTATTCCAGACCGATCAAGTCCTGATCCAGATGCCTCTGATGACAACGATGATAGATCCTCAAGCTTAGGCTCACATGTGGAGCCCTTGGTTGAGCAAGATGAGGAGTTTGGTTCCTGGGATTGGGTGGAGGACCAAGACTCGGATGAGGAGCTTTGGAGCATGGAGGAGCTTATGGATACACTAGATTGCACTGAGAAACGAAAGGTTGCAGATGAATTCTTTGAAATTTGTAAGTAAAAAATGTCTGGTTCATCAACTGTTGTAACTGAATTTTGTGATAGGGAACAACATCCTCTCTGACAGTGACAGGGACAATATCTGAGCATTCAATTTACTTGTGAGGGGGAGGATCGCACGAACTCCATTCAAGCTGATGCATTGGGCATTCTGTCACAAAATCAACCTCGACTCTGAATATGTCATCTTCAAACACATCAATGCCTTGCAGCCATCACCACCGTCGAGTATGACTGTTGCCCCAAATCGTGTATTCTCTATGCTGGGAAATACCAACAGCTCCTCATTTGCCTGCATTGTCATCAACCATGGTTCAAACCTAATCGAAAACCCTGCCATCAATTCATGTATTTTCCTCTTCTCCCATGACTGCAAGGGCTCTTCCAGAGCCCTCAAATGATCCACCTGATGGACTATCAAGTGAGCTACAAGTCAACCCCCGGCAGTATCTCAGATGTTTTCAACAGCACCCATTACAAGAAATTGGTAGGGGAATACATTGAAGTGGATGGTAAAAGGCTTCCATATCATTACTTTTGTGATCACTGTGACATCACACTTGCTCTCTGCACTGATAGCTATCTGTTGTACAACAGTAATCAAGGTGGACCGATGGTGACACTGGTTATACTGCAAAACTATAATATTCCACTGACTCAATGCACTTGTCATGAACATTTAATCTGTGTTGGGATCATTCCTGGACCAAGGCAGCCAAAGGAGCTTTCATCTTTCCTCTCACCTCTCGATGACGAGCTGGCTGAACTCGTGTACAGAGTTCTGACATCTGACACTGACAAGAGGGTCTTGTTCGACCTACACACATATGTCATCTTCAAACTGGGAGACATCCTCACAATCCAGAAATTCCTGGAGATCAAAGGCCATAATTCCATCTTTCCATGCCAATTGTGCAAGATAAAGGCAGTGCGTGGTTTAGGGAAGACTCACTATGCCATGCTGCAACCCCCAAAGAACACCCCAAACCCCCTTATCTGGGATCTGGAACATCTCCCAATGCGCACCCACCACGATTTTATCTCTACTTTCGAGAACATCAGCAAGGCACCATTGAAGGCTGCAAAGGGAAGGATTGCAAAGAAGACAGGTATTCATGGTTTACCTGGACTGCAGAGAGTTGGTTCACTGGATTATGCACACTCAGTGCCCTGGGAGTGGTTTCACCTCCTTTTGGAGAGCGTTATCCCAAATCTTGTCAATCTATGGACCAGGCAGTTCAAAGGTCTTGAATCCAGCACTGACAAATTTAGGATTGCAGTGAAGGTATGGGAAGAGATCGCACAAGAAATGATGGCTGCTGTGCAACACATACCTGTGGCATTCATACGAGTTCTAGGAAATATTGCCACCAATTGCTCACAATTCATGGCCGATTCATGGTGCTTCTGGTTCTTGTACATTGCACCCATTTTACTTGAAAACCAGTTTCCGAAGCAGAAGTACTATGTGCATGCGTGTGAACTCAGTGTGTTGATGAAGCTCATGTTATGGTTTCACTTGATGGAGGAAGAAGTGGGCGACATCAAAGTATGGTTACAAAAATGGGTACAAAAATACAAGAAGTTAGTGTGTCATTTTTTCCCTTCAATGCCGAGCATTTCAGTGATACTCATCAAAGCTATTTCTTGTTTGTCAGGTATTATTATCAGTACTGCATCAAACATCTGCCAGCATGCACACTCACCATCCATGGTCTACTTCATGTCACCGAGGGAATTCGTTACTGTGGTCCAGCCTGGACAACATGGAGCTTCTTCATGGAGAGGTATTGTGGGACATTGCAGCAATTGATGCGTTCCTGATGCCAGCCATGGAGCAACTTGAACAACACATTGCTACACCCTGTCATACTCGAGCAACTCTCTGTGTGCTATGATGTTTCAGCTGAACTCGCTTTGTGGGATGACCATGAAGATGATGGACCAACAGTATTTGAACATGTGTTTGAGGGATGTAAGTACCCATCTTTTCTGGTTTCATGACACATAACTGAGTGCTGCCAACATCAGACCCCAACCATATCATTTGCCCTCCATTCAAGAGGGTCACTCAGCAGGATCCTTCACTTCAGCAAAAGATCACTCAATATGTGGCTCAGGTATTAGGAAAGTGAGAGAGCGAGGTGAAAATCCATTTGCCACTCCCAACCCTATTCGCTGGAAAGCTTTGGATATGTGGAGGTGGCAATTTCTTCCAGACAGCAGCTGTCTCACATAGCCCAGCAGCTCCAGCAAGGAGGAACTGCTACATCAAGGTGCACTCGATATCACTAATACTACACAGTCAGTTTAATGACATCAGATGTGACCAGTACAAAGTAATTCTTGAGGCACGTAATCATCATTTGGTTCAAGTTATCGGGTATGGTGATCTGGAGAAGATATTTGTGCTCACCCTGCCACCAAACAAATTCTTCGCCTCTCTGAGTGGCAAGACACTCGTCCTTGCTCTTATCACACCATGGAATACCAAAGGAAAGGATGCCACAAATGAGAATACTTACATGTTGTCCCACCATGCAACAATTGTCACCGACATGCGAAGCTTAAAGGCTGTGGTGGGCCTGGTCCCTGTAGGTAAACAGTGGGGTATCATTGATCGAATGTCAGCAGCATCTGCATGAGGTTTTGCAGATATGGGGACATGGGAGGGCACCCTGGAGGAGAACGAGAGTGAGATGGAAGATGTAGACGAGCTTTTTTACACTTGACACTGTTTTTCAATGCTACGACACTGATTTTCTTGACTGACATTGAAAATCACATATGCAATTTACACTGACACTTAAAATCATTGTCAGACCGATGACACTGAAAAGATGTGTCCACAACTTCAGTGTCACAGACACTGATTTTTAGTGATTTTACTTTTTACAGTGTAGAGGGACTGCTCAGGGCACAGACCTTCAATCTTTGGAGCTTCCGAGACCATATTGAGCAAGCGAAGGACTCGATGGAAAAGTCTGCGTAGTTTTCTGAACACGATCCTGTTGTAGAGGCGCATCTTAGTCTGAGTGGCGATCACAGCGAGATGGCTGGGATGAACTACCGCTGGAATTCCTCCTGCACAGCTCCTGATTACATGATGCAATTCAGTGCGTGAGACTAAGTTTCACCGTTGTCCAGCTGTTATGGCAACAATAAGGATGGCTCTGTTCATACCAGGTATCGATGTTGTAACCTACCTTCCATTCGTGGATGTCCCTATACTCATACCCTCCACACCATAGCAATGTGATTCGAGTGTTGCCCGGAGCCCGATCTCCAGTTGATCGTTGCTTTGGCACAGGCTCGTCACTCTGTGACGAGATATAGCGGGGTGCTCTCAAGAATATTTCTTTGAGTAGTGAATCAAATCTCACAGACATATGCAGTAACTGGATCCAATTGTGCCAACTGCAGAGGATTATAGCCCAGGCAGTGGACGGATGTCAGGACCTATTAAAAACGTCACTGATAGACCGCGGATCTAAACTATAGTATCGGGAGGAGATAACCCGCCGGGACAAGGAAGCTCGCGGATGGCACGAAAGGCAGCAGACATCGGAGGCCCACCTTGTTGCTACGGAAACATTGTATAAAGTACCGATTTCAGCCCAGCGAACAAGGAGCGAAAGAGGTATGTATGTCGTGCGTGCCATGGGCGGGCGATCGTGTTACTTAGATCAATTCAAGTGAAAACAAAAAAAACTCCGATGAGCAGGAGAGATCCGAAGGCTGCAGCCACAGGGCAAAAAGTACAAGGACTGTTCGTAAGGCGCTCGACGATGGCACAAGTCATGTATGAGACCGCTTGTGGTTCAGACTAGGTATCTGATCAACGTGGTATCCATAGGAAACGCCAGAGAATGAGTAGCATGCCATCGAAGTTGCACCGCTTCACGGTCTCTTGTGCATCTAGGGGATAAAAAAAACAAGTCCACAGTGTACGCACAGTTGCGTTTCGATGGAGATACACATACAACACGGCGAGAACCCAGGGTCCGAACCCAATCCTTCGAGAAGGACATGCCTGGTAGGGAATTTGATTCGGAATCGATACGTGGATCCTGAACACTGGGACAAGGACGGTTAGTAATATTAAACTGTAACAATAAGAATTCCCTCCAGAAATAACGCCACTTCGGTGCCCCCGTAATGATTTACGGTACCTGTGCACGTCCCAGGAATATCAATCAATGGCAGCTCGGCATCGAGAACAAAAAACTCACTTACCGCATATGCATCGACTTTGTAACTCGCAAAACTGAGTGGCAATTTACGGACAGAACATCCTAGGTCGCAGGCAAAAGAGCTGAAGCATCGCCGCTGGACGGGGACAAGGCAATCACGCGTGATTCTCAGCCATACGACTCTCAACAACGTTTCAACTACGAAAGACGTGAGAATCAAGGCTCAGCTAGTCCTAAGAGCGGCCACTCAGCATCCATCTCAGCCCGCTTCTCAATTTCGCACGCGATGACAACGTAAATTCGACGGATGCATCGCGGTCGTGTTGGAACTTGGCCGTCCGTACCCATACACGGCAGAATGACAATCCCCGCAATTGGGGTGATCCAGTCGACGATGGTCGGCGCATCCCAGAAGTAACGGAGTTGGGGGAACGAACTAAGAGTGGCATACCCCTTTGTTTTTCGACCATAGACCCAACAGAGCAGGCAAGATTGGGGAGGGGATAGTTGCATCGCCATAGAAAAATAGTCACTGGCGTCGAAGACGAGGGAGGCGGTCAAGGGGGAGAAAGTGGAAGTACAGCATCATAGTCTCTGAGAAATGAGACTTGTTTCGATCGTTGGCATCAGCTCGGATGGGGAGTCAAGCCTAGTAGACGGTGGGAGGGAAAGTCTGACAGCATCTCAATCTCATGGCTGTCACAGTGCTCAAGCGCATGGGATTCAGAGATTGTTTCGCCAGGGAATTTCAGCGATACAACGCAGATAGCATGCCCAAATCACCGTAGCCAGAAAGCTGCACTTGAAGGAAAAGTTGTACTCGTTCTATAGATTGTGTAAGCACGCTGAGGCTATGGCGGTGCCGCATCCTTCGAAGTTCCCAACCTTACATCCACATCCTGCTTATGATAAATGTATCGACTGGACGTTCGACCCAAGAAAACATAGAGAACACCTACCGCGGAAGGCAATGTTATCGCCAATACGTGTCATGTCTCGCCGGCATCGGAAATTAACATCGCAGCCAGGCTGAGAAAAAAGTCGTCCACAAGACGCATCGTGGCTGTATCGGGTGGCTATTGTCTCACTGACCTGCTAGTTCTCCCGTCGAGATTCGAAGTCATATGCCATTACTGCAAGGACGAGTACAGTTGGAGGGCCACATGACGAGCAGTTCAGTGCTGCTGCGGCTGTTCCAATTTTAGTTTCGAGCCCGTGGCGGTCACCCCTTCTTGTCCTTTGCATATTGGACGTAGCTCATCCCAAGGCCGAAGAGCTCTGCGCAAATCGTTGCTCGTGTGCGGCCCCATCAAAAATTAGAGTGGTCAACTCGTTGATTAGGAAACGACCGCCACTGGTTGATCGCTTGCCCACCGAACTCCTGCTACGTGTTAGGTACCCAAGCAGCGTGTTGTAAGGGGAAGCAAGATGTCGGTACAGCGCTGCGCGGCCGGAGGTATATCGAAGCTCCCCAACCCCGCGGAGCTACACCCGGCGCGTTGACAATAACAACATAGCAGTCTAGAAGACCCGTTTAAAGAGGAGCGGATGCCGCCTAATCAACGTGCTGAGTTGGTCGATACTGCGGGTCACGACCCAAGCCAAAAGTGGACTTCATCTTGGAACTTGGATGTCAAACTGACTGCTTAGGATTCTCTTTGAAAGTGGTCGCCCGCTAGAATGGTGTTACCATCTTACCAGGTGCTTCCCTTGCGTTTTTTCGTGAAAAGGTTTCCCTTGCATCGTGAGGGACGTGAGATTTTTCGAAGTCGACAAGGTCCACCTCGACAACCCATCGTGCGATGGCCATCAATCCATAGGAGTCGCCTCTCTTCCCTAACTGTAGGGTTCTCCAATTTCAAAATGCGGATCGTTTCCCATGCGATAACCTCCGATCCAGAATTTTACGCCGCGCGGTCGTCCATTGATGGCATGTCCATAGAGCTGTGATTGCTGGAGCGTGTGGGGGAGCTTCAGGGGTTCCAGGGTCTGTTCATCAATGTGACTTATTTTTGTATTCGACTAAGCGCTGAAGATCTATTAAGGCGAGTTCATATCCACCATAATGTTCGAACGTTCTCTTCGTGACGATCTTTGCAACGAATCGAACGAGAATTTGGGACAACACCCGCCTGCGGACCGTGCGTACGAACGATCGACGAGAGTCTGAATTGAAAATGTTTCTCAGAAGTAGAAGCAAACGCCTAGGTGCCATACAAGCCAGGAATCAAATCCACGGTACCGATAAAGGTACCGACAACGTCCTGGTACAAGTTGTCCAAGTAAAGATACAACAAGAAGCCCAACGGGTCCATGTCCAGAACTCGATACACCGCCAAGAAATACAGACAAGCTCCTTTAATGCTGATCCCTGCTAACATACCGCTCGAAAGGTTAACTGCGCCGTCACATCCCATCCTCACAAGCCACATTCACTGGCGGGCACCTCAGTGGCAGTGACCTTCACTCTCCCTAACGCGCTCGCCTGCCCATTCGTCAGCATGTTCATCGCCTGGGGTGACACCGTAAACCCATCCTTCGACACATCCAGTGCAAGGACATTGATAGTGTTCTTTGCATGCATGATGGCATAACATTTGCTGCAGCTAGCGTCGTTCCAGTTCGCGCGGAGGAAAGGCAGAGGGAACGTGAGCAACGCGAAGTGGCCGAGCGGGAAGGTCAGGCAGCCGAGGAAAGGGCACGGGAAGCGGAGGAAACAAATGCAAAGTTGCTCCAAGAACTGGAGGCGTTGAAGAGAGCGGTGGCAAGTACTCAACAGGCTTGATGGACGGCGCTGGCTGCACATATACTTGTACCAGTCTTGCGTTTTCTTTGTTATTCTCGGACTACATACGATACGACTCCATGGTTTTCAACGTCGTCATTAGTGGATGTCACGACATCTCTGTCTATCTAACTGCCTTATTACCATCACTCCTGGGGATCTCAGGAGTATATCCCTGACATTCTACTGCTGAGTTGGCATAGCTTTGTACACCTCCTGGGTACTGCCGTAACCACGACGATGCTGTCCCTCGACGAAGAGGTCCGACTTTACACCACCAACGCAGAACGGGAGAAATACTCTCTCCTAGCTACGCTCTTCGGTATTGTAGTCGCACTGGACTTTCTGGAACGCGCATACGTCCGCGATTCAATTACTGCCGCTGAGTGAGTCCCACCACTATTTACCAATTCCATCCATCCTATCGGCCGGTTCAATGTGGAGCTCGTACATACTGAGATATGCCACGAGAGGTACTCGCCTGCATGCACGAGGTTGTTGTCGCAGTATATGACGATGGTCAAGTTGGTCAAGGATTCGATCCCGTCGATCGAGGAGTTCATGACCCGCTATCGCGTGAGTCCTGTTTCTCCTCCTCCTTCTCCTTTCACCTGACGTTTTGATCTTGTTCTGTACGTGCGGCATTGACATAGCTCGATACGCCTGCTGCGTTGCACAGGATCAAGGTAGGGGTACCCACTACGGTGGAACATTCGAGCGAGGCTGGTCCGGAGACTGGAAAATGGATAGCTGAAACGACACAGGTAGGGAGATTCTTCGATACTCTGCTCACCTATTTCCCACTTCTCCGCACATGTAACGCACAGAACTTCATAACCTTCATGGACGCACTCAAGTTACGTCTACGCGCAAAAGATTAGCTGCATCCTATCCTTCAAGAACTCGTTACGGGGCACGCGAGGTTTAAAGGGAGCAAGGAATGGGAGGGAAGAAGTCGCATGGTCAGGTGGTAAGTGCTCTCAGAATCGTTCTTTACTTCGCCCTTCACACACCTCACTCGCATGCACCAAAAGGTTGATCACCCTCAACGGGATGAAAGCCTCGGAAGAGGTCGAGCACACTACGCGGACGTGTCCCATCGCGAATAAGCACTCCCTGTCGTTCAATGGAGGGACCTAGAACAGATATGTACTGCTTTTTGATGCGATAGTTGGGTGAGCCTCCCGAAGTCCTACTGTTTGGACTTCTTACCAAACACTTCTTCACACGCCAAGTCATCTTGAGCGTGCCCCAAAGAAGGAACTGAAAAGCATATCCACCTCGCAGCGAGGTTTGTATCACATTCTCGAGCGCGAAGGTACCATGTACTCCGCTCATCCCCGCCGTTCCACAGGTGCCGGAGAAACGAGGATCATGCATGTGGATCCCCATATGACCGTCTGCCAGCGTAAGCCTAATCCTGCAATAAGAAAATAAATAAAGGCATCAACGACGTGATACTGTACCAGTCTCGTGCCTCTGTCGGTCTGCCAGGCCTAATTCCTCATCCGACCTCATCCCTGCGACCGAGACAAGTGCCATCCACAGACAATGCTGTACCTCTACTTCACATTTGCTTTCTTCCTCTCCACGCCTGTTCTCGGGCAGATGTTCACTTTTCTCGCCTATGACGCCATCTACGGCGATGCCAGTTGTCCCCTCTCCAGTCTCGCCTGCTCTGACGGGTCCAACGGACTCGAAAGCAAAGGGTACGCCACCCTTAGCTCCTTCTCCAACTTCCCTTACCTCGGAGGCGCACCAACCATCGCAAACTGGAACAACGCTAACTGTGGCAAATGTTATGCCATCACGTATGCAAAGAACACTATCAATGTCCTTGCACTGGATGTGTCGAAGGATGGGTTTACGGTGTCACCCCAGGCGATGAACATGCTGACGAATGGGCAGGCGAGCGCGTTAGGGAGAGTGAAGGTCACTGCCACTGAGGTGCCCGCCAGTGAATGTGGCTTGTGAGGACGAGATGCGACAGCGCGGTAATCCTTGCGAGCGGTATGTTAGCAGGGAACAGCAGCACACGGAATAAAAGACTTTGTCTGCATTTCATGGCGGTATATCGAGTTCTGGACATGGACCCGTTGGGCTTCTTGTTATATCTTCACTTGGACAACTTGTACCAGGACGTTGTCGGTGCCTTTATTGGTACCGTAGACTTGATTCCTAGTTTGTATAACACCTAGGCGCTTGCTTCTACTTCTGAGAAGTATATTCAATTCAGATTCTCGTCGATCGTTCGTACGCGCGGTCCGCAGGTGGGTGTTGTCCCAAATTCTCGTTCGATTCGTTGCAAAGATCGTCGCGAAGAGAACGTTCGAACATTATGGTGGATATGAACTTGCCTTAATAGATCTTCAGCGCTTAGTCGAATACAAAACAAGCCACATTGATGAACAGACCCTGGAACCCCTGAAGCTCCCCCACACGCTCCAGCAACCACAGTTCTTTGGACATACCATCAATGGACGACCACGCGGCATAAAATTCTGGATCGGAGGTTATCGCATGGCAAACGATTCGCATTTTGAAATTGGAGAACCCGACAGTTAGGGCAGAGAGGCGACTCCTGTGGATTGATAGCCATCGTATGGCGGGTTGTCGAGGCGGACCTTGTCGACTTCGAAAAATCTCACGTCCCTCACCATGCAAGGGAAACCTTTTCACGAAAAAACGCAAGGGAAGCGCCTGGTAGGACGGGAACATCATTCTAGTATGCGAACGTCGAAAACCATTTGCCACTTTCAAATCCTGAGCGGTCAGTACGATATCCAGAGTTCCAAGATGCAGTCCACCTTCGGCTTGGGTCGTGAACCGCAGTATCGACCAATCCAGCACGTTGATTAGGTGACACCCGCTCCTCTTTAAACGAGTCTTCTAGACTGCTATGTTGTTATCGTCACACGCCCGGTGTAGCTCCGCGGGGTAGGGAGCTTCGATATCCCTCCAGCCGCGCAGTGCTGTACCGACATCTTGCTTCCCCTTACAAGGCTCTGCTTGGGTACCTAACACGTAGCAAGAGTTCGGCGGGCGAGCGATCAACCAGTGGCGGTCGTTTCCTAATCAACGAGTTGACGACTCTAATTTTTGATGGGATTGCACACCAGCAACGATTTGCGTAGAGCTCTTCGGCCTTGGGATGAGCTACGTCCAATATGCAAAGGACAAGAAGGGGTGACCGCCACGGGCTCGAAACTAAAATGGGAACACACCGCAGCAGCATTGAACTGCTCGTCATGCACGGCCCTCCAATTGTACTCGTCCTTGAAGTAAAGGCATATGACTTCGACGGGAGAACTAGCAGGTCAGCGAGACAATAGCCACCCGATACAGCCACGATGCGTCTTGTGGACGACTTTTTTCTCAGCCTGGCTGCGATGCTAATTTCCGATGCCAGCGAGACATGACACGTATTGGCGACAACATTGCCTTCCGCGGTAGGTGATTTCCGTGTTTTCTTAGGTCGTCCAGTCGATACATTCATCATAAGCAGGATGTGGATGTAAGGTTGGGAACTTCGGAAGACGCGGCGCCGCCATAGCCTCAGCTTGCTTACACAATCTGTTGAACGAGTACAATTTTTCCTTCGAGTGCAGCCTTCTGGAGGCTGTCTACGGTGATTTGGGCATGCTATCTCCGTTGTATCGATGAAATTCCCTGGAAAACAATCTCTGAATCCCATGCGCTGATTGAGCACTGAAAGCCATGAAATTGAGACGCTGTCAAACTCTCCCTCCCACCGTCTACTAGGCTTGACGCCCCATCCGAGCTCATCCCAACGATCGAAACAAGTCCCATTTCTCAGAGACTATGATGCTGTACTTCCACTTTCTCCCCCTTGATTCTTGCGCAGACGACCGCCTCCCTCGTCTTCGAGGCCAGTGACTATTTTTCTATGGCGATGCAACTATCCCCTCCCCAATCTCGCCTGCTCTGGTGGGTCTACGGTCGAAAAACAAAGGGGTATGCCACTCTTAGTTCGTTCCCCCAACTCCATTACTTCTGGGATGCGTCGACCATCGGCGACTGGAACACCCCAATTGCGGGGATTGTCATTCTGTTACGTATGGGTACGGACGGCCAACGCGACCGCGATGCATCTGTCGAATTTACGTTGTCATCGCGTGCGAAATTGAGAAGCGGGCTGAGATGGATGCTGAGCATCCGCTCTTAGGACCATCTGAGCCTTGATTTTCACGTCCTTCGTAGTTGAAACGTTGTTGAGAGTCGTATGGCTGAGAATCACTCGTGATTGCCTTGTCCCCGTCCAGCGGCGACGCTTCAGCTCTTTTGCCTGCGACCTAGGATGGTCTGTCCGTAAATTGCGACTCGGTTTTGCGAGCTACAAAGTCGATGCATATGCGGTAAGTGAGTTTTTTGTTCTCAATGCCGAGCTGCCATTGATTGACATTCCTGAGACATGCACAGGCTGTAGCCATATAGCATGACAGTATTTTCGTACCGTAGATCGGTACAGAGGCACCGAAGTGGCCTTTTTTCTGGAGGGAATTCTTATCGTTACAGTTTATTATTACGAACCGTCCTTGTCCCAGTATGCCATATCGATTCCAAATCAGATTCCCTACCAGGCATGTCCTTCTCGAAGGACTGGGTTCGGACCCTGGGTTCTCACCATGTTATGTACATATCTCCATCGAAACGCAATTGTGTACACACCGTGGACTTGTTCTTTTTATCCTCTAGATGCACGAGAGACCGTGAAGCGGTGCAACTTCGATGGCATGTTACTCATTCTCTGGGGTTTCCTATGGATACCGCGTTGATCAAATACCTGAACCACAAGTGGTCTCATACACGACTTGTGCCATCGTCGAGCGCCTTACGAACAGTCCTTGTACTTTTTACCCTGCGGCTGCAGCCTTCGGATCTCTCTTGCTCACCGGTGTTTTGTTGTTTTGCTTTCACTTGAATTGATGTATGTAACACGATCACCCACCCACAGCACGCACGACATAAGTACATACCTCCCTTGCCCCTTGTTCGCTGAGTTGCAATCGGTACTTTATACCATGTCACCGTAGCAACAAGATGGGCCTCCGATGTCCGCGGCCTTTCGTGCCATCCACGAGCTTCCTTGTCCCGGCGGGTTATCTCCTCTGATACCATAGTTTAGATCCGTGGTCTATCAGTGAAGTCAATGTTCATAGGTCCTGACATCCCTCCACTGCCTGGGCTATCATCGATTCATCCTCTGCAGTTGGCACAAATGTATCATATGTCTGTGAGAATTGATTCACTACTCAAAGAAATATTCTTGTGACAGAGTGACGAACGTGTGCCAAAGCAACGATCAATTGGAGGTCGGGCTCCGGGCAACACCCGAATCACATCGCCATGGCGTGGAGGGTATGAGTATTGCGACATCCACGAATGGAAGGTAGGTTACAACGTCGATACCCAGTACGACGAGAGTCATCCTTATTATTGTTGCCATAATAGCTGGACAAGGCTCGCGCAATCAATTGCATTATGTAATCAGGAGCTGTGTAGTAGGAATTCCAGCCGTGGTTCAACATCCCAGCCATCTCGCTGTGATCGCCATTCATATAAAGATGCCCCTCTACAACAGGATCATACTCAGAAAACTACGCAGACTTCTCCATCGAGTCCTTCGTTTGCTCAAAATGGTCTCGGAAGCTCCAAAGATTGAAGGTCTGTTCGATGAGGAGTCCTACGGGCTTGTGAACGTCCGCGGGTGGTACTCCGTCATCCGCAACAACCCTCTTACGTCGGATTGTCAAGTCATCAGGGTCGGCTGGTACAAGATGCGGAAAGGGGTAGAGCATGAGTTCCTGCGGTTTGACATCTCTTCCCCCGACAATCAGCACACATCCATTATCATTGCCGAGAGGAGTGGTGGTGTTCGCAATCCAAACTACGGTACTTCTGCTCACGTTCGTTAGTAACTCAAGCCGCTGACAATTCTGTAGACCCCCCACAAACTGCCGATACCCATCTTCCAGCGGACACAGTGGTAGATGCCACGGCGTCGCCACCCACTCCACCAGAGACTTCTGCACGCTCTCCTGATGTCGGCGATTCCACTGCAAGTAGTGCCGACGAAAGCGGTCCTCCGCTAGACAAAGTTACTAAGAGCAACAGGAAAAAAATAAAGAAGTTGCATACAGCTCAAATTGCAGCTTCTCTTTCCTCCAGTTCCGAGCGGGACGCCTGTGATCGCGTTTATTTTGCAACGCGGATTAGTGCAGCAGGCGCTCGGGTGGAGGAGATGTGCGACAAGCCTCAACGTCTCTGTACTTTACGGTTTACTGGCGCAAAGCCCACTGCAAACGAGCTAGCGACCTTGCTTTATGTAACCTCGACACAGGAGCCCAAGTACGCCATTGCCCGAACACAATGCTACTGGTTCGCTGCAACTGTGTTTGACGCTCTCAAGATGCTATACAAGGGTGCCATGCAAGATAACCGGACCCATCGGGGGGGTACAATTCGTGGGGTACCAGTGGCTATCAAGGCGAGCGGGGAAGAGGTGTGCGCTAAGTATCGTGAAGCTCGAGCTGCTTTGGCCGAGGAAATTGAACAGGAACGCAGGCTTAAACAAGAGGTAACTTGTCTTTGATTTCTGTTCACTATCCGTGCTTACGATGACCCGAATAGCAAGAGGAAGAGAGGCAACGTGAACGCGAGCAACGCGAGGCGGCCGAGGAAAGGGCACGGGCAGCGGAGGAGGAAAGGCAGAGAGAACGCGAGCAACGCCAGGCCGCAGAGGAGGAAAGGCAGAGAGAACGCGAGCAACGCCAGGCCGCAGAGGAGGAAAGGCAGAGAGAGCGTGAGCAACGCCAGGCCGCAGAGGAGGAAAGGCAGAGAGAACGCGAGCAACGCCAGGCTGCAGAGGAAGCAAATGCGAAGTTGCTCCAAGAACTGGAGGCGCTGAAGAGAGCGGTGGCAAGTGCTCAACAGGCTTGATGGACGGTGCTGGCCGCACATAGACGTATACCAGTCTCGCGTTTTCTTTGTTATTCTCGGACTACATACGATACGACTCTATGCTTTTCAATGTTGTCATTAGTGGATGTCACGACATCTCTGTCTATCTAACTGCCTTATTACATCACTCCTGGGGATCTCATTCTCAGGCGTATACCCCTGACATTCTGCTGCTGAGTTGGCATAACTTTGTACACTTCCTGGGT